CAGAGCACACACACACCAGGAGAACAAGCACACAGAGCACACACACACCAGGAGAACAAGCACACAGAGCACACACACACCAGGAGAACAAGCACACAGAGCACACACACACACCAGGAGAACAAGCACACAGAGCACACACACACACACCAGGAGAACAAGCACACAGAGCACACACACACCAGGAGAACAAGCACACAGAGCACACACACACACCAGGAGAACAAGCACACAGAGCACACACACACACCAGGAGAACAAGCACACAGAGCACACACACACACCAGGAGAACAAGCACACAGAGCACACACACACAAGGAGAACAAGCACACAGAGCACACACACACCAGGAGAACAAGCACACAGAGCACACACACACACCAGGAGAACAAGCACACAGAGCACACACACACACCAGGAGAACAAGCACACAGAGCACACACACACACACCAGGAGAACAAGCACACAGAGCACACACACACCAGGAGAACAAGCACACAGAGCACACACACACCAGGAGAACAAGCACACAGAGCACACACACACCAGGAGAACAAGCACACAGAGCACACACACACCAGGAGAACAAGCACACAGAGCACACACACACACCAGGAGAACAAGCACACAGAGCACACACACACACACCAGGAGAACAAGCACACAGAGCACACACACACACCAGAAAACAGCACAGCACACACACACCAGGAGAACAAGCACACAGAGCACACACACACACCAGGAGAACAAGCACACAGAGCACACACACACACCAGGAGAACAAGCACACAGAGCACACACACACCAGGAGAACAAGCACACAGAGCACACACACACACCAGGAAACAAGCACACAGAGCACACACACACACACCAGGAGAACAAGCACACAGAGCACACACACACCAGGAGAACAAGCACACAGAGCACACACACACCAGGAGAACAAGCACACAGAGCACACACACACACACCAGGAGAACAAGCACACAGAGACACACACACACCAGGAGAACAAGCACACAGAGCACACACACACCAGCAGAACAAGCACAGAGCAGAGCATGAGAGAGGAGCAGGTCTGAAGTAGGACACGCTCCTCTGCTGAGATGTGAACCTCCTGAGAGCCTCACAGGTTCTGCTCAGACGTGTTCAGGACGATTCTGTAGCTCAGGTTTAGAAACGTGTCCCCAAAACTGATGAAGCAGAACCACAAATCCAAACAAACACTGCGACAAAACAAAAAAAACGAGAAAACTGCAGCGACTTTACGGCTCCGACACAAAAAGAGTAAAACAGAAGAATCCATGAAAGTGTCTGAAACCCACAGAATCATGAAAAACCCTGAGCGCAGCTGAAGATCACACAGACACGTTTGAAGATCTGACCTTCATGTGTCACCTACAAATGTCAGAAATGTGTCCACTGTTCCAAACCAACTGAACCCACGATAAACAAAACAAACAAACAAACAACAAACACAACAGCAGCTTTAGAAACACTCGTCTGATCGTTCCTCCTGTAGAACTTTCAGATGTTTTAAATCCATTTTAAACAGGATCTCTGCCCACAGACTGGAGGAGAGCACTTCCTCATGGACGTTTCACTCTGACGTAATAATGACACGAAAAATAATGAAATGAATCTAAATACTGAGAAAAACATGATTAAAACGTGAATCATCAGATCATTTTCCAGAATAAAAAACATCAAAACTAGTGAAGGTGTGTGGAGTTTAAAAACACAGTGGAGCACTTCCTGTATCACCACATGGTGACATCACAAGGTGGAACAGAGTGTTTGAGAGAAGAACGTGTGTCAAATGTGCAGGTTTGTGAGTTAAACATGACAAACTGACTCAGACGCTACAAAAATGATCAGACAAATAAACTAATAATTGGAGCATTTTGTTTCCTTTCCTTTCGTTTCCTTTCGTTTCCTTTCGTTTCATCTGAACTTGAGCTTGTGTTTGGTGGTTGAAGTGTCGTGGGATTTTTCTTCACATTTCATGCATCATGTGAGTTTGTAATAGAGTGACATTTGGCTGTGTAATAAAGCAGGATTAAACACATTAGACATGGGAGTGGTATTCTGAGTTTAGATCCACTTCAGGAATGTGCTTCATCTTTTACTCATCCACGATTCTCAAAAAAAACATCAGATACACATCATGACATCATCACTAACACTTTATTTGGCAGAAAATCATCAATATTTGGTCATAAAATGAGATGATGATGATATTGTTCTATGGTTCACACAAATAGAGATGTGCAAAAATACTGAAATATCGACATATTGTATCGTTTAATCTGATGATTCAGTATCGATATCAGGAGCTGCTGTATCGATATATCAACAAGAGGATTTTTTATATATATTTGACTAAATTATTTTGATACAGAACTCCAGTTTTGTTGCTTGTTCAGAGGAAGGAAACTCGTTTAAGCGTCACATTTGACATTTTCATTGTTTAGACGATTTAAATGTTTGTGTTTCAGATGAACTTTGGACAAGAATCAGTTTAACAAAGACTTTTAGTCTCCGTTCAGTCTGCAGGTTTAACGCTCAATTTGGATTTTTTTTGTGAAATACGATGTTTTTTCGAGGTCGTTCACATTTCCAGTTAAATGTGACTTGTATGTGACTCCAGTGTGAACATTAAACATGTCATAAAAGTGTCCCACATGTGACACTGGAGACACGACGACGTCAACCGCAGCGAGCGTCTCTGTGTTTACACCTGGAGATTTTAAAGTTCCTCTCGTACCGGAGCCACAACATGAACAACTGACTTGTTTTAAGGAGGAGATTGAGAAGGAGAAGGACAGACGTGATTTACACTTTATTTTTGATTGAATCGTATCGAATCGTAAGCTCACTGTATCGAGATCTGAATCGTATCAGCAACATCTGAATGCTCCCGGCCCTAGACACAAACCTCACACAAATATTGATCTAGAAAATCAATAAAAAACGCCGCAGATTCGGTTACAACAAAAGAGAAATCTCCCAGAGGTTTTCCTGGACGACTGCAGTAAGAAATTAAATAAACACTTGACAAACCAACTCAACAAGAGCTGGATATTTTTGTTGAGTGACACGTGTAGAGTAAATAATTTAATGATCTTGAAATAGGCGTGAGGAGGATTATGGGACACTTAACAGCTCATTAGTCACAGAATTATTCTAAAAAAAACCTCCTATTTTTACACACGAGGGTTAAACGCTCGATGGTGGAGAATCTGAGCGTTCGGCTTTAAACGAGACTCTTGTTTGTAACGAGCTCGTGCGTTGTCCGTCCTTGTGGCTGTGGTGTTTTTATTCTCGTACTTTGTGTGAATGAAGCGTCCGCGAGTCCCCGAGTGTTTAAACGTTTCCTCTGTCAAACGGTGAATCAGTCGCTGCAGAGGATTGTGGGAGAATGAGACGGCGCTTTGACCCAATTTCACATTTATTTATTTTTATCTGACTTTTCTGGGAGAGCTGCAGAGGAGGAGACGGCGCGTTGTTCTGCCGCTGCTGCTGCTGAGCGCTCTGACACATCTGAAAAGGCAGACGTCATCAAGTGCTTTGCTCAAGGACACAACAACACTGTACTATTAATACACGCCGTCCTTTTATCCTTTTATCATGAACCAAACACGAAACATCTGACTCAAAATCTCACAACAAGCATCATGTCCTGTACTTATTCCAGACAAAAAAAAATCAGAACAGAATGAAACGATGTGACAGGAGTTGGTGAGATTAACGAGAGGAAAAAGAACAACACTTGAACCAGCGTCTCACCAAACAGTTCAAAGACAAGACGCACGAAATCCACCAAAACTGTGCTCAAAATATGAATTAGAAACGGTACAAAACCACAGAGAACCACAGAGAACATGACCAGAGCTTTCACAGGTTTGTGTTAAATCTGTGGGTGAGTTTGTGGTGAACTGAAAGGACAGAAGTTGGGAAAATAAATCTTCTAAATCAGGACAAAAATATCAACATCAGCCACAAAAATCCTCTGTTATGAATCACAACCTGCAAAACCCACAGCAGCCGGACCTGCTCCTCCAACACCTGCTCCAACTCTGAGCTCACGACAAACATCTGCACAACGCTCAGACATCTGCAGAACCCTCAGACATCTGCAGAACCCTCAAACATCTGCAGAACCCTCAAACACCTGCAGAACCCTCAGACATCTGCAGAACCCTCAAACATCTGCAGAACCCTCAGACATCTGCCCGCATCTGGACGGGTCGTGTCCATATGTTTTACCATGATTTGTCCATATTTTACACTCTGTTCTACTCATATTATACCCATGTTTTGCCCGTGTTTTAGGCTGAATTTTACTTATATTTTGGTCATGTTTAGCCTCTGTTTTGCCCATATTTTGCCGATATTTTGCCTGTGTTTTAGACTGTATTTTGGCCAAGATTTTACCCTGTTTTAGACTGAATTTTGTTTATATTTTGGGCATGTTGAGGCTGTGTTTGACCCATGTTTTGCCCACATTTCAGACTGTATTTTGCTTGTATTTTGGTCATGTTTAGAATCTGTTTTACCCATATTTTGCCCGTGTTTTAAATTGTAATCTACCCGTGTTTTGCTCATGTTTTACCCGTATTTTGCCCATATCTTAGACTGTATTTTACCTGTATTTTGCCCACGTTTTAGACTGTACTTTGCTTGTGTTTTGCTCATGTTTATCCACTGTTTTAGGCTGTATTTTACGCATGTTTTCCCCTTGTTTTAGACTGTATTATGCTTGTATTTTCGTCATGTTAAGCAGGTGTTTTACCTATATTTTACCCATGTTTATCCTGTGTTTTAGACTGAATTTTGCCCATGTTTTTCTTGTATTTTCCCAGTGCTTTTTACTGTATTTTAGACTGTATTTTGCCCGTGTTTTAGACTGTATTTCACTCATGTTTTCCCGTGTTCTGTCTGTGTTTTAAATTGTATTTTGCCCGTGTTTCCCCCGTGTTCTGTCCGTACCTTCGATGGCGATGACGTGCTCTCGGATCTGGTTCTGCAGCACCGGCTCGTCCACCCGCTCCAGCAGCTCGTAGATGGAGTAGATGTTGGGATGCACGGACTCGAAGCGCTGGATCTCTCCTCGGATGGCCGCGGAGGTGGCCAGGTGCTGCTGGTAGTTCATGTCTGCGGCCCGGTCCCAAAACCCGAGTCCCGAAACCGAGTCCCAAAACCGAACCCCGAGTCCTCGTGTCCCCGGGTCCCGAATCTGTGCGCGTCCGGTGACCTGTGACCTCCACACCGGAGCCAAACACTGCGGGAGAAACTGTTCAGATCATCCAGAGAAACAGACGCGTCCCCCCCGCTACATCCTCCAGGGGACCGGGGCTGCTCCGCGCTCAAGCCCACACAGGCAGCCTCCTCCCCGGGCGCGCTTCTCTCGGATCCCGCGGTGCTTACAGATGTGGGGGTAACTTTACACCGCTACCCCATGTCCCGAAGCTCCCTGTTCACACTTCAGATCCGACTTACATCCATAAAAACCAAAAAAAACCACACAAAAACACAAAAAAACCCACAAAAACACACTTGAGTCCGCGGCGGGGACGGGACGTCAACAGCCCGTGGCTCGGCTAGCGGCTAAAGCTAAAGCTCCGGAGATGGAAAAGGCGAAACTTTGTCTTTTTTTAGAGTTAAAGTCTTTAAATAAACCCGCCGTGAGACGCAGCGGGGCCCGGGGCTTCGCTGCGGGGAGAACACGGGTGAAAAACACTCGGTTCTGGTCGTGTTTCGTTGTAGTGTTGGCACCGGGGAAAGTACCGGCTGTTGCTCCTGCTGCTGACCGGCGAAGGCAGCTCCTCCCCGGCGTAGCTCCGAGCGCTGAGTCGCTGCGGTGCCGGATGTGCGCCAGGCTAACGGCTAGCGGCTAACGGCTAACGGGACGGCCTGTTGCCTGGTAACTGCACTAGCCGGCTAATGCTAATGCTAATGCTAATGCTATCGGGAGCCACAGGGAGAAAGACGTGACAGAAGAAGAAGAAGAAGAAGAAGAAGAAGAAGGAGGAGGAGGAGGAGGAGGTTTTTTAGCGTTTTCCAAATTAAATCCCGGAACAAAAGTCCAAATGACGCGTCCGAACCCCGCGGGAGGCAGAACCGAACCCCGCGGGAGGGAGATCCGAGCGGAGGGAGCCGGGACTTAAGGCTGTTGAGTCCGTCCGTCGGAACCAGGAGCAGCGCCTGAGTCCTGCCGGGATCAGAAGCTCCTCGGGCCGCCGCCGCCGCTGCTCGGGTCACACTCGGGTCACACTCGGGTCAGTCCCCCGGGGGTCACGTGCACAGGTGAGTCCCAGGTACCAGGTCCAGTCCGGCCATCCTCCTCGCGCGCACAGCTGCAGGACCAGAGTGGGCTCCCAGGGGCCGCCAGGTGACTTCCGCCCCGCGCTTCAAAATAAAACTACAACTAAACCCTGGATTTAAACAAATAAACAAATAAATATAACAAAATACACAAATACAATATAACTAATCACACAAATATAAACACACACTTAATAACACTCAAATATAACTAAACACACATTAAACTACAACTAAACCCTGGATTTAGACAAATAAACATAAAAACAATATAAAAACAAACAATCTAAACACGCAAATACAACAAAACACACAAATATAACTGAACTAACTAAACACACAAATATGAAGAGAATGTGGAAGAAAACGCAGAGTTTCAGAAGAACAGGTCAGACTGTGGTGGCCCCTCACAGTCTCATTTTTTCCCCTGGATTCTAAACAAAGAAAACTGTTAAAGACGAATGATTTACTCCTGTAGTTTTGTAAACATAAAGACATAACTCTGTTCTATCAGCAGAGCAAAAAAAGTCACATAATTCTCTGAATAAAGTGATTTAAATATGGACGATCTCAGTATAAACCTGTGGGAAACATCACTTCATTAGAACACTGCACGTAGAACACTTATTACCCATTACTACATATTTAAGAATATATTTTTAATTTTTATTACATTAAAATCACATTTACATAAAGGAAAAAGCTCACGCACAATCAGAGCAATCAGAAAAATAAAAAATAAATAAGACTGAGGCTTGAAAACAAAAATAAATCAACGTGGATTAAAAACTTGTACATGTTTGTTTATATGTTTTTGTGTTTTCTGTATAAATAATCTTAAACACAGCCCTCTGTTTACGTCACTCCTGTGCTGTGATTTTAAGACTTTTATTTTGAAAGTGTGAGCCGGATGAGCTCCTAAATTGAACAGAAACAAAACAAAAGCGGATTAAACTCAAAAGTAGAGTTTATTTTAGTGAGACACAGTGAAATGTTTGACTAATGAAAACAGATTTAAAAAAACTATATTTTATTATTTGTTTTTAAGTAAAGGAAACAAAAGCGCGTGAAGAAGCTGCGGGTTAAACGCGACCCCACGTGGCCGGAAACGGACACTGAAAATAATAATCAGGTTAAAATAAAAAAAAAATAACACGAGCGAAGATAACAAAATATATGCACTTTTTACATAAATGTGTTAAAAAATTCTCCTGCTTTTCTTTTTTTACTGCTGCTTATTGAGAAGTTTATTACAATTTGTACTTTTTTTTTTTTTTACTCTGTTATTGTAATAAAATGTGACGTGTGAGCTCCTGTGTGTCCGACTCATTTTCCTCGTGGATGAATAAAGTTTGTCTAAGTTTAAATGTAAAAGTCTATGTTGAAGTTTAAGACTCAAACAAAGTGACCGGAGAGTAAAATTTCTCACAAAAAAAGCAGAAATTTCACTTTTGATTTTTATTTGGAAGTTTTAAAATCTCCTTGTTGCATTTGTCATGATACAGAATAAACTCAATATTCAGATGAGTTCACACTGAGCTTCAGCTTCCTGTTACTGTTCCTGTGGCGCCATTTTGAGGACCATTCCAAAGATCAAGTTTAGTTTTGAGTTGTTAATTACCATGGCAACGGACAGAACAGATTTACTGGAGACAAAATGAACTCTTCTATTCTCATAAACATTATAAACATTATAAACAAACAAAAATAATCGGCTGTAATAATGAACGATTATTTATTCATGTGATTTAAAGGTGTTTTAAAGGTTGTTGTTGTTGTTGTTGTTGTTGTTGTTGTTGTTTGTCCGTCCAGCAGGAGGCAGTGTGTGACTCTCTTCTTCCCCTGTTCTGCTCTGAGGCAAAACTCACGTTCTCCAACCAAGAACCGAGTCTGTGCACCGTCCGACACAAACTCACTCTGAAAACACAAACACACAAACTGACAACACAAACACAAACACACACACCTGTACACACCTGTACACACCTGTACACACACCTGTGTAATACACCTGTACACACCTGTGTAATACACCTTTACACACCTGTACACACACCTGTACACACCTGTGTAACACACCTGTACACAACCTGTACACACACCTGTACACACACTGTACACCTGTACACACTGTACACACCTG